TGGAAAACGCTCTACTGTACATTAAGTGTCTAGAGCAGCGGTTCCCAAACTTTTACGACCACGGCACCCTTAAAAAATTGTATAAGTTTAGCGGAACCCTAATGTCTAATCCAACTCAACTACAATTTTTCTAAATAAAAAAAGGAAAATCAATTCTCTAAACTCTCAAGTCTAAATAATATTTTAATGATACCCTAAGGTTCCGCGGAACACACTTTGGGAAACGCTGGTCTAGAGACTAGAGAGTCACTGTAATTTATGTTTTGAATTTGAATTCAATAATACGTAATCATTGTATACCAAAAACGATTATGAGCGAAGACTGTCGATCAGCCTATAATATTACTAAGTAAATTGTATGTGATTAAGGTAATTGATTTTACTATTGGGCATTAATACTAAGAAAGACCTTGATAATTGATAATTTAACTAAAATATGATTAAAATACTGTGGGGCTATGCCCCTCAAGCACACCGAATTAGCCCAAATGCCCAATGATTAATGAATCACACTAATTTCTAATTTAAATTTCACAAAAATATATATAATATTATGATGAATCCATATAGACCTTATAAGTTGTATGTCCGAGACTAGTCTTCGGATAACTTATATTATGTACATTTTATACCAGTATACGATAAGTCAGTATTTATCATGCAAAACTATAACTTACTATAACTTAGTTCATGCATTCCTAAGATTCATAAAATGTTTAATTTAGACATCTGTATTAAAATTACATAAAGACTTTTTGTGAACGAATCGCCGAACAACCACATAATCTAATATCAATATAGCCGCAAATCGTGATGCAAGGTAAAAAATATTATTTAAAGATGCTGTATCTATATGACGTGTGTAGTATATTTTCATAAAGATTTTGATTTTCATAACTAGTCACTAGAGTATTACAGTAATACAGTGTACTTACTGAACGTTCATTAAAAAACAAAATTCGTTCACGTTCAGACCTTAAGACTCTTACACTTTCACATTCGTGTTTTCTTCAAAGGACGCTCTCAGGTTCACATTTTTTGGAAAAAGGAATGCTCTCATTTTTAAAAAATTTTTTTTTTTGTGAATCGTTTACGTGAAGTCAATACAAAAACATTACGCATATTATATGACTCAACCCCCCCAAAAAAAACAAAATGTAGACTTTATATTTATACATAATTAATAAATCATCATTAAGTCATATTAAATGGTAAATAAATTGATCTCCTTAAAAATCGCTCCAATTCGTTAAAATATGACGTTGTTAGAGTTCAAGTATCGTTCGCCAAGTACGAACGTGAAAATGTGCATTCATGAACAACGTTCTTTCCAAACACTGGAGTATTATAATAGTTGTAACAAATTGTATACCTTTTCTATGAAGTATGAGTAGAATAGTAGAGGGGAGATAAGAAATCGTCTAGAAATTCATATTTTTTTAATCATACTGGATTGTGTTGACAAATTTCTAGCATAATATTATCTAGTCTTCAATCTTCACAAAATCACCAACACAGAATATTTTTGTACATACATACAATCTGAATGTTGAATGATTATTGAAGTAATGAGCATTTTAAAGTACATGCCCACGTGACTTGAGGGTCATTTTTTTACTTATAAGTAATAAGTAATAACAAACAATATACTAGTAGCAAAAATGCAGTAAATTTGCACTTCTACAATAATTCTATTCTATTTACTAGTTAATAAACATTTTTTTTAGTTTTCCTAATTACTTTAACATCATGCATTGTAGAATATAGCCATATAGGTTAAGTCCATTTTATTAAATAAAAACAACCAAACCAGATGTTATGATGAGTGATGAATACTTTTCAGTCTGGATACCTAAAGAATAACTATAATGTTTTAATTTTTGCTATCCAATATACTTAAGCTTAATCAATTTATGGATCATAATTTCTAGAGAAAAATAATAAATTTGATCTTTAGACAATTTATTAAAATTAATGACATAAAATACATTTTATACTCTTAAAAATAAGTATTTACTAATTACATACCTACACAAAAAAAAAAAGAAATAGTAAAATAACATATAAATGGCTATTCAGTATTTTTTTCGGTAAATGCTCCTAAGTTACCAAATAACTCAGAAGGCACATCTTTTTTAGTAGGCATATCTTCGTCATCGTTTTCTTCATTTTCTTTATCGCCATCTTCTTCATTTTCATCGTCACTGAATTCAATTTCATCTGGATTTGATACTTTTTCATTTGGTAAACGGTCTTGCTCACTACCCAAAACAAATTTGATAGGTTCTAATGGTTTTTCTTTATTTTCTAATGCTTTTTCTTCTAACAACTTCATTCCACTCTTTTCAGGTTCAACCGAAATAACAGACATCATTTGTGCTGACATCATGTTAACTTGGATATTATACATTGCTTGAACACTTCGTTTAATTCTTAGCATTTCTCGGAGAGTATCTTCATTACCATGAGCTACTTCAAATGAGGTCCATGTTTGCCAAAATTCTTCAGTTACCCTAGGGTCACAAATTTGACTACAATGCGAGTATATTGCTCGAGCGCGATCAATTTCACCTAATTTTGTTTCTAATTCAGCAAACCTTAGGTACATTGTGCGAGCATTATTACTTGTCAAAACTTCCAAGGCTTTCATATAGATTTCTCTAGTCTTAGGTATACCAGATATTTCTGCTGCTTTTTTAATGTAAATGTTGAACATTTCAAACTTCTCTTCGGGTAGAACAGCTTCAGTGGCTCTTTCATATACGGCCATTGCTCGCCTGCCTAAACCGTGTTTTTCTTCAAGCTTTGCATACAATAAATAAATACACTTAGCAAATTGTGGAGGACAACCTTCTAGACACTCATCAAAAAGATCACGAGCACGTTCAAGTTTTGTACCACCGTAACGGTCCAAAAATTTTGTCAAGTATGTATTCCATATATCAAAAACATTTGGCCACTTGAATAACGCTACACCTTTTTCATAAGCTTTAAACATTTCTTCAAAATAATTGCTTTCTTCTAAAAATAATCCATAATTAATAATAGTTTGTGGAGTAGCAATTCTTAAATCTATAACTCGATCATAACAAGCCATTGTTGATTTAACAGTTCCAAAACTCTCTTCCATATCCAAATACAAAGACCATAATTTTAATGATTTATGTAATCGTATTTGAACGGTTTCTGTATCGTCATGATAAGCTACTTTCCGAGAAGGTATGGAAGTTGCTTGTCGCATTAGTCTCATTGCTTCATTAAAGTTATCATGTCTCAATTCCATTTCAACCCATTCACACCAAACACTAGCTAAATGCTCAACTTTAATATATGACACTAAAACAGCTTTTTTAAATACTAAGCGTGCTTCTTCAACTTGTTTGGCTTTTTCATAAAATTTAGCAAACTCCACCCAAAGTGTATGTAATCTACCAACAGCTTTTTGAGGATCAACCGTCTCCACAGCTTCAGTAAAAGTATTTATTACCTGAACATCATTACCTTCATAGAGCTGTACACGTTTTAACCATTCTTTAACATTGTGGGGATTTTGTCTTAGAAGTACTGAGTTTAAAAGTAGTAATCGTCTTTCAATTAAGTTTTCCAATCTTGCCATACGTAAATCAATCTCACAATCATCTTTTTCAGTACTATTTTGATTAGCATGAACAACTTCCATTCGTTTTTGTAAACTTAACTCTTCAAATTGTGCATAAGCATCATACACTTGAGTAAAATCACGAACTGTAGTAACAGTTTGAATAGCCTCTTCATATATATCTCTTGCTCTTTCAAATAATCCACTACGTATGTAGTAATCAGCTAATGAGTTCCACAAATGACCAAGCTGGTCAGTGTAACGTCTTAAACCACTGCGTATAATCGCATCAACATTTAATGATTTGATTTCTAAAGGATTTTTTGATATTAAATTGCAAAGTTCATTCCAAAGTTGATGCTTAGATTTGCCATGTTTGGACACAAAACTGTCATTGTTTACAATTTCAGATAGACGAATAGCAGCTTCATCGAGACGCCCAGATGTGGTCAAGTATTCAATATAATCTTCCGAATCTTCAGGGAATAATTTTAAATATCTCCTATATATTTTAACAGCAACTTCTGGGTCATGACTTTCTTTTATGAATTTCAAATACAACGGCCATATTCGGGAATGTTGAGTGATCGGTAAAGCTCTAAGGGCCCTATCAAAGAGACGACGAGCGACAGTGAGCTTAGGTTGTTTCAACATGAATGTGCAGAACTCAATCCAGATACGAGGCATCTTGTTCATGTACACCAATGCTCGCTCATAAACATTGTTCACTTCTTCGTAGTCGGGATTGGCTGTTGTTTTTAAATATTTACGGCGTATTTTCAAGTAACAGTGCCACAGTTTGTAGCTGCCCGGCAATTGTTTCAAGGCGCGTTCGTACAGTACACATACTTTTTTGTACGGCCCCAGTTTATAATTGTCTATGTACCGCATCCAACACTTGACGGAATTTGGATTTCTCAGTATGTCTTGTTCAAATTCTACATCTCTCTTGTTCAACCAGTACGTCTTAAATACTACAGCATCCGACATTTCATTGGCCTCATCTCGTCGTACCACGTTGTCCAATTCCATTCTCATTGGATCTGTGAACAATCGTTAACATAAATAAACATCGTAACAATCATAAAATTCAACACTGGATTCTCAGTGCGTTTACTTACCACACGATCGACAGTTAAACGAAACGCACCAATGCCTAATTTATTACAATATGCCGAAACGGATTGGACGTTAAATTGTAAAATTGTAAATTTATAAAAATCTGCATGTATTTAGACGATTGATAACGTTCTGTTGCTTTAGTAAATAATTGTAGTTGTTTCTGTAAAAAAAAAAAAAAATAGTTTTGTCCGCGTTGTTTTAATATCAGAAGTGAGGAACGTTTTGAAAAATTGAAAACGGCAATGCCGAGCCGACTGCAGCTCTTATCACTTAATCAGGAAAATTAGAAGACACATTATTTCATTTATTCAACCACCCAATATAATTCTTCGTTTTAGTTCAGGCTTCGGCTTTTGACCGTCTTTGTCAATTATTATAGACATTTGCCGAACAATTCGTCGACCGGGTTCTTGACGTCCCGTCGACGCTCTCGAATATGATTTTACAAAAAATGTTAAGGTTCACTACGAACCAATTGTCTGGATGTAAGTTTGAAGAATTAAAAAAAAAAAAAATGAATATTCAATAATTTGTATGTTCACATATTCAATATCTGTATTTTAGGTGCTGCTTCATTACCACAAGTCAACAATGTTAGAGGCATTAAGAATTTTAAACCTCCAATTCTATATGAACGTAAATAAAAGAAGATTTCTGATCAATCACACATTGTAGTGATGTGTAATATGTGAACTTTATACTGACGCTTGTTTCAGATATTCAGATGCCAGAAAGGCCTAAGCTCCATTACATCGACAGGGTACCAAATTACAGTAATTCTCAAATAAGGCCTCCAAAAATGCATAAAATGTTGGGTTTGATGAGGGGACCTGAAACAGTTCACAACAAACTTATACATAAACAGTACGGTATTCAGGTAAGTTTATGAAATTTAATTTATTTGTCAATAGTTATCATTGTAATTTGAACAAAACTGCATCTAGTACATTAGATAGTTATACAGTTACAAAATAATTCTACTTACATTTAAATTGATTATTTCTATAGGCAACTGGTGGAGGCCGAATGAGATTTATACACTTTGAAGTTATTCGTATGGGCTTACTGAGAAAATTGGACTGGTCCAGAATGTTTGCAATTTGGAGAATTGATTCACCATGGCAAGCTGTTACCAAAAAGGTTAATTATTATGCGTGTAAGATTTAGAATACAAACAAATAATGAACATTTGTATGCAATGTTACAGGGCCAAGGGCAGAGAATGGGTGGTGGAAAAGGTAACATAGATCATTATGTAACTCCTATTAGATCAGGCAGAATTATTATTGAAATTGCTGGTCATTGTGAATATATAGAGGTATGTTTGTGTTTTTTTTTTCAATTTAATGAACCAATTACGTAAAATGTTGGGGGCGTTTGTGTGTTGTTGACCTATAATCACTTTTAATATTAATTAAATATCTCATTTCAAATAGACATAAGTCACAGTTTTTACAGAAAATATTCTGTACAAAAGCTACATTTGTCACTCATATTTAATAAAAAATATAGTATAGTATATTTTATAATAATAATTTTCAAAAAACCTCGGATTACTTCAAAGACACTAGTCAATTACTTGCAATTAAGTTTTTGATGGTTTGTTTAAAATTTCACTTTTATGACTTAAATCATTTTTTTAAACACCCGAATCAATTATATTACTTATTATAGTTGAAATTTACATAGTCTCTGAAATAATTACGTAATTTCTTTAATCATCCAAATCATTTAATAATTATCAATATTAAAATTATTATATTATAGGTAAAAGATATATTAAGCAAAATATCTGCTAAACTGCCATTTAAAGCCAAAGCTGTTAGCCAAGAAACTTTGGAATGGGACTTAGCCAAAGAAAAGTGGCAGAATGAAAATAATCAGAATAAATATACCATGGAATATCTAATTAAAAATAACATGGATGATTTACAACGAAAAGTTAAAAAAATTGATCATTTATATTTTGGAAAATATGTATAAGATACAATGTGTTAATAGATAGTTGAAACCTAAATGTATAATTTTGATTTGTATAAAATAAAATAATTTGTATTAATGTTGAATAATCGTATACTTTTGAAGAATCCTTTACAATTTTATAATTATAACTTTTGGAGACTATAATATGAAGTGTATATACTGAACAATTGGAAAACACATTATTTCATTAAAGATCATAAATATTTTATCAATCTGGTATAAATAATAGTGAATAAAAGTTAACGAAACAAAAACCATTCATTGTTTGTTCACACCCTGACTAGCTCTTTCCTCTCCAACCTACCTTAACAAACTGCCACTGCCATTGCACCGAATGCTGTTCTTAAATACTCAGTAAAAAGGAAATATTAACTTCTGAAATCAATGGTCAAATTGCTCAACATACTTTAGTTTAGGTATTTTAACCCATTTTTATTCATGTATTATAATTTTTGTGAACAGTGTCAATTTTTATGTAATCCATATTTTTAAATAGATATAAAATATAAATCCCTCACAATGGCCACTATTGCTTAGTTATTGTTATTTAAAATTTAAAAAATAAGAGATTATATTTTATTATAACTATGAGGATGAATATTGAATGTCAAAAAACTTGGAACTTCAAACACTCATATAAAACTTTGTTTTATTTTTATCAACTACTTATGAGGAAAATTGTATTAGATTTTCAAGTTTTATGACCAAATGAAACATTTTTATAGAACAATGGTCAAAATCAAAATCTTATACTTTTCAATAACTCAAAAAGAGCCAAAAAATTGGTTTAGTGTAAAAAACCCCCGTTCTTCAGTAATATCAATACATCATCAGTCTGCTCAGAATCTAATAATAATAGTACTTCAAATCACAAATACAATTTAACTTCAATTTGAAATGTCAATGAATTGTTTATTAAAAATATTTTGAATAATAATGCAATTAAATATATTATAATAAATCATCTTCACATCGAATAAATTCACCAATATCGGCTTGATTGAAACAAACTACAGATAATGGATCTGTGTGATTACATTCTGTAGTATTTTTTGCTGCAACACCAAAACCCTGAAATAAAATAAAATATTGAATTGATATAGTACTATATTAATAGCACGCGAACATCATTACTACTCATATTAAAAAGAATGTAAATAAAATTAATAATTTTAAGGAATTTGAACATTTAAATTGTTTAAATGCAATTTCTTTTTATTATTTCAAACAATTATCCTTGGCTACAGACTGGATATTAACCTGTAGCCTACAGTGGCCATTGAAGTAACACGTTATTTAATAAATTTCAAGCTTAAACTAAATACTATTACCTATACATTAAATACAATAGTTTTTAAATTGTACAGTACAAATTAGATACTAATATATTTGGTATTTGAATATGATGAGTAGGACTAAGAATTTTTGTGAAGGTTAGTGAAGGATATTCTATTTTTAATATTATTGTCCTGTTATTGACATAGTATGGCATCTTATCTACATGGTAATATTGACAAATTTATATTATTAATTAGTATGCTATATTAAAGATTTTTTTTTAAATATCTATACTAATTTGAATATACATGATAAAGCTATGTGTTCAATTCAAACTTCTTATTTGGTATTTATTTCATGCATGTTAGGTTTAACATTTATTAATTAATTATAATGTACATTTTTTGTAAAACTTGGCTTTGATTTCTAATAATTTATTACTCCACCAATCTTGAAGTGATTATATTGAATATGTTAGCTAAGGTATTTTATTTTATAATCTAATTTTAAATGTTATTATTATGTAACATAAGAGGACTTAGAGGACAGGATTTAAGGTTTTTTTTAAAACCAACAAACAAGTGCAGATAATGTGATGTTAACTATTAAATTTCATAATAGACCGATAAACTCTAATTTTTAAACTAACGAATCAAAATATGAACTGCTTGAGTGTCAAATACTAAATTTGCAAATACTAAAAAGTAGACAACAAACACCCTCTTAATTATTACAATATTGCATACCTAAGAAAATCACTATTATAAAAATTATTTATACCTTACTGAATGTCTTGTTTAAAGATTTATGAAATAATAATTTAAATGAGAATCCAGATGAATGTGTATGTATTTTATTAAGAACTAGCTATATAATTTGACAACGCCCAAGTAAAAATGAAGAAATTAAAAATACAGAACCATATTGGTGTATTTCAGTTGTAGTATATATCAGTTTACTGGCAAATTCCTATCAAAGTACCCTGCATTGTTAACTAATTCAATCAAGAAGGGAAATATGCCAGTCTCTTATATTAAAAAAATCACTTAGCAATGCATGCAGGTGGATCAATTTTTTTTTAAATATTTAATACAAGTATAACAATTAACATTACATGTGAAATGGCCATTAAACTAAGTTAAACTGTAAAAATGTAGTTTAAAGTTTTTCTAGAAGATAGAATAAGTGAATTAATAAATTATTCACAACTTATTTTGTCCAAAATCACAAAGAAAGTTGTTTAAAGGATAGCCTGAATAATAAATATGCATACTACTTACTAGCATACAAATATGTAAATAAATAAATATAGAACTTAAAATAATATTTCATAGGTTATAACTACATTTACCAAAGGAACATCACTCATTGAAAATACTAAAACTCCTTGATATTGAGTAGTACTTTCTGTAATTCGTCCAAGACCAGATTTTAAAACATTATGACCATACAGAAACTGTTGTTCAGCAGCAGGTTTTATCCACATTTTATGCTAAAAGTACAATTAAGTAAAGTAAAAGTAATTCATACAACAAATGAACAAAAATGGAAAAACAAATTTATATTTTACCTGAGCATATGGAGCTAGATAATCTAAAGATGTTATATGTATTCTAAATTTTCCAGACTTGGTAAATTTACCAAAACATGTGCCTATACTAATTATGTTATCAGGATTCATCATGGATCCCATATTTAATACTTTTTCAGATGCATAGTAAACTCGATCTTTCTTCTCGCGAAAACAGTATTTTCCATCTGAACGATCAATTAATAACTTTATATTTGATCCAATGCTAAAACATTATAGATACTTACATAATAACAGTCAGTAAATTAATTCCAAAAACTATAATTTGGATGAAAATATAATAATCAATATAATATGCATTTAATATTGTTGTTAAAAAGTACAGTTGAAATTAAGTATTAAGCATTGCAAATCTGTCTAATGAATTGTTTAATGCCAGATATTTTTTTTTTTTTTGACAAACAGTAAAAACTATTTGTTTTGAGAAATTAGTTGGATATAAAAAAGTGTATTTACCAACGTTTTGTACTAATACTTGTATAAATGTGTTGAAAAAATTCACGTAAGGTAATAATACAATTAACTTTAGTCTTAACCTATGTATGTATGCAAATAAATTAACTTACTATTTTGACAATTTTTCGAAAAATACTTTCATTCGGTCATCAGTTAATTGTTTCATAGTTTATTGTTTAATAATTAATTTGTTTAAAGCAATACCTAATTCAATTTAAATTGGAATTTGAAAGCAGTTGGCAGTTTATTTTAGGGCGATAACTGATAAGCATTAAGCAACCTGTACACATTCTTTAATCGTGATCGTGGGTAAATTCTTATATTCTGTGGTGAAACTATCTATTTTCACATATCACATCCTGCCCCCTAATTGGACATAGTACTAATACTGATAGTATATCTGAAATCAATTAGTAATTACCACGAACCACGAATTAAGATATATCCACAGTTATATACTATTTACTTGTTTATTTTAATTAGTATATATCTGTGGATATATCTATATAACTAAGTATACCTTAGTTCGTGGTAATTACCAAGTACCACAAGGAGTAGATCATACAAGGGTAATATTGGTTATTATATAGTTATTACTTATTACTTATGACTATGCACTAGACCTTATACTTACTACTTAGATTGTCTTAGAATAGTATAAGGATTATTTATTATACTATGCTACATAGTAAGGTCTATGATTAGATCACAGACCACGGTCTTAGAACTTAGAAGATATATATCTTGGTCATAGATACGAGTGATGCGATCATGAAGTCCTGAAGATTATAGATATTTATAGATATTATCTCTAATCTTCATGGACATGATTAAACAAAACATCGTAATTTGTTCACATGTTTTGTAGAACCTGTGATTGCGGAGAAATTTAGTTTAAAAAAATGTTATAAGCGAACACAATCATATGCGTACGTAGCAAGGTAAATAATTAACAAAATAATAATAGAAGTTGTAAATAAATACATGAAAGAATAATAAAAAATATTTTTTTTAGGCAATGTATGATCACACCCAAGCCAAAAAGACTAGACACAAATTCAAAAATGATGGCACCAAAATTGGTGACAATGAAAGTGAATAAAAAAAATGTACAAAATGATTTAAAGACACACTATATGATTGTAACATTAAAAGATATTCATAATTTGATCACCTCCAAGTGACCAGTATCAGAGCCTTAAAAGTGTTGGCAACTAGTTATGAAAGAACTGATACCACCTTAAATATTTAAATAAATGATGAAAGTGAGCTCAAAGGAATTCTTTATCAGGACAAATAAGTGCGTAGAATTTTGTGTGACAATAATTTAAAAAAAACTAACAAAAGTCAAAACTTTCTTATGCCCATGAATAGATCAAAATAATCAAAATACTTCGAACATTTTTTTGGAGTTATACTAAAAAACAAAATCTACTTTACCCGAAAAACCGGTTTTGCCTTAAAAATCTGTTGCTCATTAATTTTTTGTTGGTTTTCCCTTACGCGTTTGAAAAGTACTGGAGAATTACTTTCAACCCCCCAAAGTACTAACTAAATATTCACTTTTCTACTAGAAAATAAGCGATTGAAGAAAATCGAAGTATTTTTACGGTCCCGAAAAGGGACAATGGACACAAAAATAACACACACATCATTGTAAAATCATTCATTCATCGTTCCACTTAGAATCTAAAACAAGAAAATAAAAATAATTGTAATATTATGTATTATGTAGTAATTAATTTTATATATTCTACATAAAATAAGGACAACAAAAAAAAAGCTTAGGAGCTTTACATCTTTGTCTTATGATAGAAAATATCCAGTGATGGCTGAATTGAACTTGTTTGTTATTGTAGTCGAATTGTCACTGTGTATTCATTAATTTATAGTAAGGAAAAATTATTTCTTACTTCTCCCGGAGAAATAACGTCAAACACCACGGCCGCCGGAGGGGGGGGGGGTCGAACCCGGGACTCTAGCAGTCTCGCTTTGCCAGGCGATTACTCTACCACTGAGCTAATTGACAACACAGACCCAATGACGCTATCATTACCCTAGTTCACGAATGTTGAAACAATATATTGAAGGTTGTTAATTTTATACTTCTTAGGGCATTTGTTGACGTTTTTAATGCATTTTTTAATTTTTTAGGACATTTTTGACATATTTTTTTTGTATTATGATTAAAAATAAATAAAATGAATAATTGATCTCATTGAAATATAAGTACTACATAGTAGTATATTGTATACAGTACTACGAAATATTAATTATTTTCATTTTGAACTTAGCATCAGGTAATCCGGTTTTAAATTAGACAAGGCTGAAATGTATCTTAATGTCACACCACCCCATACGATTTTATTGCATATTAATTTCGCTCAGAATCGTTTTTAGTATAGGTAGTAGGCACAATGAAATACTTCCATTATTAATACTTCCATTACAGTGAACCAGACGATATCAAATCAAAAGTAGAGAGGTACCCACTGGTCAACCTTTTATTATAGCTAAAACTGTGAATTCTAGTGAAAAGTAGAAAATGTTGAGATTTTTGAAACAAAAATAAAATACGATCTATACTGGCTACCACCGAAACAAAACATTACGAACACACCGAGCTAAAAAAAAAGTTATTATTTGTAAGTACCTATCTTTATCATGGACATAATATTATATTGGGTATACGTGTTATATTTTGTATTATAATTTATAATGTTGATAGTTTGTATATATATTTTTCACCAAAGTCTATTTGATATGTTATTTTTTTTATCATTTATTAATATATTCCTCATGTTATTAAGTCGATGTCTCTACACAAATAATTTTAAACCAACATAACCAACGGAACATTACAAATTATGGTTATTTAGTATATAGTCATTATAAAGTACTGGAGAGTGGAGACTCATTACAAATGTATTTATTTCAAATCTAAATGTCCAATTTCGATTCGAGTGACAAGTGAAACACTCGAAATTGGTGTAAAGGTTAACAATTAATGAGCAAATAATCATCGTTCTGGAATACGATACATTACTTACTAACTTATATTAATATTTTGATGCTGCATACAATGCAATTATTTCCTGCATGTCGTATGGACCTGTCAATTATACATTACAATATGAACAGAAAATTGGTTCCAAAGCTGTGGAAACGTGCTGTATGCATATGATACTTCATTGATAATTTTAGAGAATGTAAAGATGATTATTTTAATTACAATTTGTTCACCCATTGCAGGTAAGATTTATTGGCTTTAAAAAAATAAAAATCATCGCATACTGTCAAAAGAACTTTAAGCTTAAAAATGCAGTGTTCAGTGTTGTATAAAAAACGTTAATTTAAAAAATTTCCTCAGGTATTGAAAGTCTTCGGACTTTATATCAAGTTTTCATGGTACCTAACTTCAAATCTTTCACGTTTGCAATTAAAGTTGAAAGTTTTCCATTTAATACAAAGTTTGTTACCATCTTCTACTACCTATATTGTTATAATTAGCTCAATTGCTCGTAAATTAGTTAAATCTTTAATAGCACATTAGCACCTTCAAGTTGAACAATAGCATATTCTATGTTTGAATTCATTAACTGGAGAGTTTTAAGTACTAGGTACATTAATTAATGATATACCCATAGTGGTATTCTTGCCCAAAAACTTAAAATCAATACAAACTTAGTTGATTCCAGCTTTCCTTTTTTTTATGGCATGGCTTAAATTTTTTTCATCAGATTTTTGACGTATAAGTTAAATATGAGTAATCACTTAAATAAAATTACATCATGATATACCGTTAGTGTACACAGCACAGAACGGTATATGTACATCTCTAAGTTTCTTAGATATTTACAGTAAGTAATAGTATACTACTTAGCTATAGATTTATGACATATTACATATTAATTCCAATTCTAGATCTGAGATAGAAGAATAATTTTTTTTTACCTCAGCCTCGATGATTACATTTAATTTTCATTATTATTAACGGATAACGGTAGGTAGTAATAGGAGCTATTAACATATTACATGCGTAAATTTACCTATACCAATAATTGGTCATTGGTCCGTAATTTGTGAAATTTATTTCAAATATCAACATAATATTATTTCCTCATTTATTATTTTAATTTGAAATTTCTAATCGAATATTAAAAAATAGGGTATGATGGTTTTTCCTCTTTGCCCACCCGGTGTTTCCGCTACTGAAAAAAAAAACATTTCGATTGGGTAGAATAAAACATTATATATTCATAGTCATACACATAAATAATAATAAAATAATATACAATATATAATAATAATTTATAAAAACGTACTTTTGATTATAATATAGGTATACCGTATGGAAAAAAACCCGGGAGGCACGGAAGTGTAGGTACATTTAAATAATATAATATGATAAATCTTTACAATGATTTTCATATAACAATTACAATAATTATGCTAATTACTATATATAAACTATAATCAATAATAAGTAATAAGAATCTAAAAATTGTAACTGTGTGAGTGTGGAGTGCGTGTGAGTGTGTGTTCATTATAGCCCTAAATCATTTTCTCACGCCTTACACAAATCTCGTGTTCGCGAGAATGCGGCAAAATGTAATAGCATAATATAATATTATTTAAACGGCGTATCATCATCGCGGCATATGGTTAAACCGCCGGTCCGACCGACGATCGTTTGGCTGCGGTGTTTCGCTGCTGCTTGGAGGACTCCGGTTCGGAAAACATCAAAACGCCGTAAACGATGTTCAGGGCGGACGCGACCGCGAAAACGGCGAACACCCACCAGCCGACGGCGGCGTGCACGTACGGATAGCACTTGATGACCGCGAAGGCGACGGTGTACCCGAACGCTAGGGCCACGTGCTCGCCCGCCGCGTACCGTGGAACGGGCGAGTGAGGCACCAGACCGACGCTGCTGGACATGGAAAACACGATCAGGCCCAGTAACGGGACGAAGCTCAACAGCTGCGAGCCGAGCCGGTTGAGGAACATCCGGCGGATCAGGTTGTAGACGGCTATGACCACGCCGGCCGTCAGCGCGCCGGCGGCCGCTAGCGTGGCCGATGATTCCCGGTGGTCCATGGCGGTGGACACTAGGGCGCCGGCCACAAGGAACGCCGCCAGTACGGCCGCTACGAAGTGGCCGTTGAGCACGCGCACGCCAGAGTCGCCCACCATTTGCGAGGCGTACGACACCAACACCATCGGGCCGGACATTTGCTGTAGGGCCAGGTGCAGGGCTAGCGCCAGCAACGGCCGGTAGATCTCGGGCTGGTGGACTCGCCGGTAGATGGCCTCGGCGGCAGTGGATCGGTCTCCAGCGCTGCGGGTCGAGGGTTCCACACCGTCCTCGGCATCCGTCTGCCGCTGAAGCCTTAACTTGAGCCTGGAGTACTCGGCGTCACCAGTGCGGCCACGGGACTCCAGCCACGCCGGGCTCTCTGGCACGAACGTCCGGACGAGAACGAACGACACGATGGTGACCACCATGACCACGGCGGCTGTCTGCGCGTAGCTGAGCAGTGACCCGGCCAGGTACACGCACAGCACTCCGATGGCGGTGTAGACGACCGGCCGGGCGGTGGACCGTGCAGGGAAACACTCGGAGCTGTGCGCGGTGGCCGCAACCGACACGACGCCCACGAACACGCCGGTGAGCACGCGTCCCACGAGTAGGTTGGTGGTGGTCCAGCTGCTGAACGTCAGCATCCAACCGATGGCGCAAACCACGTGGCTCAGCAGTACCGAGCCTCGGGGTCCGAACGCGTTCATCAAGCTGTGAGAGATCAAGCAGCCCCCAGCGGCACCAAGAGAGGCCAGACTAGCTGTAAACACGATTAATATTTACTGTTTATTACAAAAAATACAAACAAGCAGTTACAATTTATGAAATTATAAGGATGGAATATCGACGATTTGAAGCAATAAAGACTCGCAAATTGGTTAAATATTTATTTTTCTTACGGATTTCGAATTTGATATCAACTTGTTATACACTTATGACCACCTTTATTACCAAAAACAGAGCACAAAAGCTGTATCTTTAAATCAAAAATGGATTATTGACCAATCCTTAACATTTTGCTATTTTAGTAAAATGTAAATAACTATGATTTGAAAGATGTGTTACAATTTAGTTTGCTAAGTTTTCCAGTTTTTACAGATGGTGAGTTTTGTTACAAATCAACGATATTATACCTACTTAAAATATGAATTTAGATTTTTATATAGACATATATAGTGTTAAAAATAAAAAGTACTTCATGTCTTCATGCTATGTAAACAATTTACAGATCATTTTACATTTTACGCAATGCATTTCGGTACACAATATTGACAAAATTAATGTCGATTAAAGTAAGAGCTAGTATTAGCGTAAGCAGTGTTTAATATATATTTCAAAATACCAAAGTATATATTTTAAAAAAGTATACCATTACGGTGATACGGCATTGGTAGCTATGTAAAATAATTTGTTGTGCTTCTTGAACAACTACGAAGAAAACCTCAATAAAAAAGTAGTATAGGTATTAATGATTTCAATCAAAAACAACGGTATGGAAGATTATGTGGTATTTAAAAAAAAAAATTGTCAATGACCTATAATTGTTAAAAACGGTAATAATTTAATATCAATAAGGTAATAATTAATAAATAATAATGATCGATACAGACTGCGGTTTATTACCAATACTCTAATAATATTGAAAGTAAAAAATATTTATACATTGTAAATAATCACATTTTAAATATAGTACTATAGCTTCTTCTCAGAATGCTACATATTTACATAATATATTAAAATATTTTAAAATTTGTTCTCAGTAATATTTCCCGGATGGCTGGCTATAGCCATTGTAGCTAGGCTATAGAATTATATTAGGTATATTAAATGATTTATATATTATATAATTTGTAAATTGTAATAATTCACGAATTTTAAACATACAGACGTATAATTACATTTTAATCAAAAATGTATGTAAATAACAGCTATTTATCAATAATATTATGTCGTCTCGATCAATACAATGACAACAATATTATTTTAGTGATGTAACATGTTATGCAATCAGACGATAGACTGAGGGGAGTATAAATATCGCATAGGCGGGAATTATGAGTAGGGGCATCAGTATACAAATATATTGTACTCCTAAACATCGGACTAAAATTTTTTACGACTTTTAACAATTATCGGCAATAGCTAGATACCAAAAAACTGAACTGTATGAAGGTAGGTAGCATACGGGAAAATATGACATATAACTACCCATCATACTTACTCTTATAATATATTTATATATTTTATATTTGTATTAATTTGCATTATGGGGAAGAACCTATGACTTGAGTTATTAAGATAAATAACATATTTTGACGGTGATACTGATACAATACTATGTAGCTAAATAGCTATCGTGGTAACAAGTAAATATCAACCAAATTCAACGATAATTTACTTTTTGATATTGTGTTATTTTAGTGTATGTTGTGTCCTTCCACAGTTCCACCTCGCCGTTACAGATTTTTTAAAACATAAATTTAAAAAGAAATGGTTGCGGTCCATTAAAATTTAAAACACAACACGACAATTAATTTGAAGTTTTCTGCGATGACGTAAAAACAACATAACAATTTATAACATATTAAAATACTTGATGAACGTCAACAATACATTATGTAAATTTTAATTTAATAAATTGTAATTAATCAGTAGGTACAATATAGGAAAGTAAAAACACCAGTAAAGTTTTTTGGTAAGTAGTAATTTAGTAATTTAATTAAGCATACTTCATCAACGAAGTAGGTATCAAATTACCAAAAACCAATATTTTGAGAATTATTTACAAATCCACTGTAATTTCAACATCTGTCTCTATCTATCTATAGTACAGTATGGATAAAATATATAGGTACAGTATAGATAGATGTATAGATCATAGATATATACCTAAATAGGCCAATAAATCTAATTTAATATGTATTATATAAATTATTTGGACTTTAGAGGTAGGTACCTATTAAGTTTTTAGTATTTTCGGAATCATTAATTATTATTTAAAAAACATTTTTTCACGAAGTTTTTCTACGCTTGATTTTATTGTTGGACTATAATACCTACCTATAATTAAATTAAAACGGAATATCACAAAATGGCAACCCATGCGTTACGTAACACAGATATATTTTAACATACAAAAGTCATAAATCAAGTTTTAAATTACAAATCCGATGTATATGCAATATTGAACAAATGCATAATGCATATATGTATATGTTTTCATTTTTCTGCGAAGGATAACCACTACCTATGAGTAATATATACAAACAAATAAGAGCTTGCAGTATAAAAAAAATTAACGATATCAAGTCGTGATGTATATTATTATTATGATTTACCTACCTACCAATCGGTGAATAAAATCGAAATCGACAATGAAAAAATGAACAATACCTACTTAACTCTGATCGAGTCATGAACATCCCACTGACCCAGCACTCATCATATAGGTACACCTACTCTATTGAGTACCCCGGATTTTTATTGGTACCTAATAACTAATTATATATTACTATATGTTTTACTTATGATGAAGTAAAACTTACCGAACCATGTCGCATTTCGATATGACAGTGGCAAATTCCACATTGAGACACCAGTAAATCCCAAGATGGCCCCTGAAATTACACATGGCAACAAGGATATCACGGCTATGAATCCCTGTAAATAAAAAAAAAAACAAAATCACCAAACGTTCGTTATTGTACTTGGCAATATTAGGCAATAATATTTGTATTATATCGATTTTTATATCACACATTGTAAGACAGAAAATATACGAGAATCAGGTGGTAGGGATCCATCTACATTATGATATCAAGTAGGCACGTGTACTATACCTGCGTCACTGAAGAATTATTCAACGGTTTTTGGACGTTCACTACGACGGGCGGTTCTGGTTGCGTGCTCGGCCCCGGCGCGTTTTCTTCCATCGTAAAAAATAATAAACTGTATGGTAATTAAACGGGTGGTTTATGGGGTTACACTCGCATATGTAGTATTATAATATTAGCACCAGCTCGCCGGTATTACTCTGCGGCACTGTTCATACGCATAAATCACAATAACAATAATATTATTGTGAATTTCAGTGTTGTTATTGAGATGTACGACGTTGCCGATATATGTGTAATAGTTGCTGCTGTAACGTGTTCGAGCGATAGTAACGGAGCACTGAAGTTCGAGCGCTACTACGATTCTCTCCAGAAATCCAACGTCATTTGGACGGCTTCAAACCGGTGTCAGATGACTGTACACATTATTATCACCATATTATATTATATTATGTTTACGAGTGTGTGTGTGTATATATATATAATATATAGGGTGCACTGGATACGCAACCGAGGACTATCTACTATATTATAATTTATAATATCTATAAAATATAATAATATGTTTCCGCTGTTACTTTTTACTCGTTACGCGTCCGATCAACAGGCCAACAGGGTCTCAAACCAATGTCTAATCATCTTGGTATTTTATGTAATCAGAATATTGAAAATGTATAATATTATATTTACAAATTATGTTCTTCGCAAGTGGAAGACATCTTTAAAATTAAAAAACATTATTTTCATTATTTTTTGACTATATAGTATGATGTTTATTGTTTATACATTTACATTACTAATATTTTGATGTACGCACAGCGCACACATGTTATTATACTTATACGTAGGAATGTATATAGATCATAATATTCTGATGGCTATTCATTATTGTTTAATCTCGACAACCAAGACAGTTCGCCTGCATAACATAGGCCGGGGGTCACGTCTATTTAAGTGCATTTTCACAGCATCGTTTGGACCACACCTAATGCACAGAATATTTTTTGATTACACATAGTATAGAGTACCATATTGTATTATTATTATCTATTTATACGACCGCACAAATCGGTTTGTTCGTCATTTGAGTTCAAAGTGTGTAAGCAAAACATAATAAAATAACATAATATCATATACAAATAGATATAATATTATAATTGTTTTTCCTCCAATAGCAGTATGGAATTCGATAACGGTTCAAATAACTTTCAGATACAATTGCGTGAGATTAAACCTAATTACACAAAAACATATTATGGTTATTAACCGTTTAAACATTAATAGATATACATTTTGTTTTAAGATAAATTAAACGAAGCGCCTTTGAAGAAAAGAATCAGATCGGGTGCTAATGCCAGAGAACGAGATCGAACTCAAAGGTAAATAGCTATCGTTTAATAAGTAGTTAGTATCGACCTAGCTTAACACCATAATAATTGAGAACATGATATTATTTATATTTTGATTTTTGTTATTTAGTGTAAACTCGGCTTTTGATGTTCTACGGGCCATGATACCCATTGATCCTCCTGACCGCAAACTATCTAAAATAGAAACATTACAGTTAGCCACGAAATACATTAGTCATCTGTCCCAGATCCTAACTTCTGGTAAATATTCTTTAAACATCATAATTTATTATCCCTATTAAGAAAACAAAATATATGGATAAATTATTTATTTTTACACACGAAAAACATTTTCTTTATAAATAACTGTAATACACTATTATCGCAGAAAATAGATTAATGGCTATGGACCATTGAATATAAATAGTACCATTAAATGTATAATCAATACTATGAACCTATGACACATACAAATATATAATACATATTCAATTTGTTATACATATCATTGTGGTTAATGTTTACAATAGAAATAAGAATTACTTGCTATATGTAATAATTATTAATTTAATTTTTGGTGGGTCTAAAGACTTGGATATTAACTTGTTAGTATAATTATATTAAAATTTTAATGATTGTGTCCTGCAAATAAATTATTAAGACATAAATTTATCAGTTCTAAATTAGTTAACAATTTGTATACAGTTTTCTAACATAGATAGATTTTTGAACTAATGTTATCCAACCAAACAATGGATAATCAAATAATAATCATTTAGTGTTTCCCTACTTGTGGTACAATATTCAAGTCAGAAATTTTTTTTGCCAAATTATTTATGAGTTATGACTCTAAAATACTTTCAGAAGAACAATTGCTTAACTTCTATTTATCATAAATTATACCATTAATCATTACTATTTACTATAAAATAGATGTGATTTTAAAACGTAAGTATAAAATATAAATATAACAAACAGATTTATTACTTTCGTAACACATATCATTTTGTTTAGGAGAAGATAGAGAACAAGAACACAGTTTCTACGATGTATGTATATTTTGTTTAACAAATAGAATTACTTCTTAAATAGTATACAAAAAACAAATACTCTTTACAAATTTCACCAAAATGTTTTTATTATTTTATAATCTATATATTATGTATATTTATTTATAATTATATTTTTTTATTGATAAATGTCGTGAATAATATTAAAGCTATGTGTATTTACATTTACATTCAAATAAAAAAAATATACTGTAAATTATTATATATACATTTATTATGTGCACGGTAATATAAAGCACAAACTAAAATAAACCAAAAAGGAACACTAAAACAAAATAAAATAAAATACTATCAGTTACTGCAAAAGGTCATGTAACATTTGGTTGGTTTTTTTATTTCCAAAAAATAAATTTAATTTTAACACTACAACTTGACATTTTATGTATTATACCTTATACTATATTAAAGACAAATTACTTCCGTAATAAATATAAATATATTATGTTATTAGTTTTTAAACTAATTCAAGTTAACAAGAAAAATTATTTTTGCTACTTCAAAATAGCACCATATTTTTGGTAAACATTTCTATTTTACATTCATTTAATAATTAAGTGTTAAAAAAAAATTTAAACCCAATTAAATTGTTTTTGATAATGCATTTCATCATGCAAGAAAACTATGTTCATAAAATGTATAATTTATAACTGAGATTAATAATTTGATATATTATAATTATTATTATTATTAAACAAGGTTATTGGTTAATAATAAAAATTTTTAATATGGTTTGAGCAGTAAAATTTACTTTAATAGTTCAATAATTTTTATAACATTTCTTCTATTGTACGAGGGTTATGAAATCTTAATAAAAATCAATTTAATTTACAGTTTTATTTGTAGTTAATTATTGACTTTTGTCTACAAAAGATTTTAATTAAAATACTATCATAATAGAGAAGAACTAAAATTACTGAATGCATTTGTGCATAATGGTTAATTTTATAGGTATTAATTTAATAGAGCAATTATTAAGCTAATCCCTAATAGTGTGACGGATTGATTTTGATAAGGGTGCTGCAAATACAAAAACATACTTGCACTTTTTTTTTTAACTAGTTGCTAATTATTTTATATTAAGTACTTATAAGAACAATCTTAATAAAACATTTTTAAATTAAACAGTTAATACAAGGATATATCTTATTTTTAAAAGATAAAAGTTATTACTTACAATATGAAATTTTAAAAATTAAACATTAATTTAAAATTGTATTGCATTTATAATATTATATTTAATTTAGTGCATAATTTTATTTTAACTTGTTATCCATATAAAGAAACTTATATTATTCAATAGATAACATTAAAAATATTTACCGAAAATTGCATACACTTAATAATTAGTTGTATAATAACTAACATTAAATATTGCATAGTTACTAAGCTTATAACTTGTATTAAATTACCATTTGCCATATAATTGTGTAATAATAAGCATACATTGAATATTTACATAAAAAAAAAAATATATTTAACAATATATAAATAATAATTTAAAAAAATGTTTTTCTTTTATCAAGTTAAATAAAACTAGTTAGTGTAACTTAAAAATTAAATTTATTCATTCTATAAAATACCATTAATAATTGTTAGTTTACAGTTATTACCCTTCTGGTTTTTATGTAATATTTTTCTATACAACATTGGAATTATTCGATATTTTACCCGTGTGTTGTAAGTAAACATTGAAAAAGTTATTGCCTTCCTCGTGCAGCTTCTTCAAGAGCACGAACTTTCATTTCTCGCTCCCTTTGTTGTTGTTGTCTGAAATATTACAAAGTAGAAGTATTATTGACTACAATTGATACTGTTTTAAAAATCTTGATTGAAATATCAAATATCTATACAAATACAACAAATATATTTTTAAGAATTATTAAATTCCCACTTTAAAATAAAAATATTATGTAACCTAACCTCAATATAATTTTAGTAAGATTTAAGCTAAAAACTGGTCGCCATTTAGGGCCTTCTAATTTACGACAGTATAATACTATAAGCAGATAGTAAAATAATCAATTGTTTATTCAACTTTTAATTTATCAAGTTAATTTATCATAAGCCAAAAGTCTTAGTTGATAGCATAGATTTGTTTATTCATATATGGACTACCCCAATACTCTACCATATGTTTCCATGTGCCAACATTGTTAGAAAAAGATCGTCAATACCAATGTAAGATGATGGGACCTAACTACTGAAGATGTATGCTATCTTTTTCTTAAAATGCTGTTATCTTTATTGTTGAACTATTCTATCTATGAGAATATTTATAGATATATTTATGTAATATTAATATACCTATTAATGGGTATAAGTGGTATAAAATTTGATATATTTTTATAACAATAATGGTCCCTGGATCTACCTCTCTATTATCAGTTCAATTCTTCATAGGTCTATGGTTAATATTTATATGTTTTTTATACAGGTGAGATAAGTATTTTTATGATAATCTACTGTGGTAAAGTGAAAATACAATTTCTTATGTAATTTGATGATAATTCTTAAAAAAGCCAAACTGGATACAAAAGCTAAATTTTGGACATTCATCTTAAGAGGATGTCATAAATATATGTGTGCTGTCTTCATCTTACAATATATATACAACATCTAAAATTTGTGTTCAGCAAAACCAATTCTTAGTTGTTAGATTTAATGTTGAAATAATTATCTCAATAATCAATTTAAAAAGGTTAGGTTTGCACAAGGGTATGATGATGATTTAATTTTAATTGAGTAATGATTCAAACGTTTAAATAAAAAATTATGTTCACTTAAATAACAGTAAGATCACTTGAGATATTGAAATTTTATCAAAATAAACTACTCATATTGGGTGCCAAGTGTGTACCTCAAATTTTTTCTTTTATTTAGAAGCATAATAATAATAGTCCAATTGATTGTTCATCAATGATTGATCTTAAACCAATACTACCATTACATACAATCAAAACCTACTTCAGTAAGCATAATAATTCTTAATTTTAGAATGCGGCAAACAAAAACAAATACCAATCAGATAATTAAAACTAAAGAGCAATAGAGATAAATTTCTCGATTATGTTTTTTTATGATTTTTTAGAATTATATAATTTAAATGTGTATAGATGAAATTCTTTCAAATTATATAATTTACAATACATTTAGACATACCTAATAAATTCTTCATGAGCCATTAAAGCTGGATGTGGAAAACGTTCACGTTCCATCATCATTTGTCTTTGAAAATGTTCATGTGCGACCTGTTAAAATTTTTTTATTTAAAAACATACTATAATATATATAACACAAGTTCAAATAATTTTGTACAGTTTTATTCTCCAAGGCCCCGTCCAGACTAAAGAAAAATTTTTTTTCAATAACTGTGGCAGAAACATATATTTCCGACAAATGTTTCTTGGTCTGGACTGGACTTAATAGAAAAAAGTCAGTTATATTTGAAAAATATAGGTCTACTTGACCTTTAAACAAGATCTTACTTGATCTGGAAATGGTCTAACTTGATCTGGAAACGGTCTTACTTGATCTGCAAATGGCCGGGCTAAAACATCACTCGGATGATGAAGTCCTAATGTAGGATCTCGGCCAGGTAAAAGGTTTGGACGAGGGTAACCACCAGAAGCTAAAATTTATTTTAATTTAACTTATATTAGTAAGCTGCTGTGTGCAATAAATAGTAAAAACATATAAATATTCACAAACCTAATAAAAACTTTTTATTGTGGTGAACTAAAATCAAAAATTTTAATTGTCGAATACTTTTATGTACAATTTATATCAAGACGTAGTTTGTATTTTAAAAGCATGTAAAATAGAATTTATAATACAAGTCATAAACGAATGCTCTTACTAAAGCAAAACATACCAAAATGTACGTTTAGCCGTTCCATTTTTGTGCAGCAACCAATAACCATAAAATTGATGATTTAAAATATATAAAAGATGATCTATTAACTTTATCAGTGTTCTTGTCTTGGTTTTTCACAATATTTTTGATTACCAGTGAAATATTGAAATTTAAATTCTTTATACCATGCCTCAATATTTAAATATTGTCAAAAAAACCAACAAGAAATCATAGATAATGTTCTTATCTATTTAATATTAAAGATCACAACACACAATTGGAACTAAATTGGCTAGAATGGCATACATTTATGTTGTCAATTTGTAAGATGAGATAAAAAATGAAGGTTACTAGAAATTTGCTAGACTAAGCCAGTTTAAAAATATCCAGCACCAGAGTAATGAACCATTTCAATGATATGGCGCAAATATCTAGGTACATTATTTATCACACCGGTTTAGTCATGTGCTCTTGCTGAAAAAGATTAAAGGAGTACTTGTTCTTTAATTTTCTATCAGTACTAAACAATTTAATAGAAAATATAAAAGCACAAATATTTTTTCTTAAAAATTTCAAAATACCTTTAATGAGGTAAGTATAAAAATATTTATTTAAATGTTCAACTGTTGTATGTAGATGGGCTATATTATAATAATAATATATATAATCTTTTTTATTTCACCTCTATGGCTGTATCATTCATAAATTATTAAGTTGGGGAGTTTATTTGATAGTATTTTCATTTTAAAATGTTTATAGTAATTGTTGAAACAATATTAACCTTATGAGTTTCAGTTAACACAATTTGATTTAACTTTAAAGAAAATATCTTGTTAAATTAGGAACAAAAATAATTTATCAAACCGTATTTTCATGATACATGATATCTGTAAAAGGTACTAGTACGAATAAAATGTTACTCACAACCAAGCGGGTAAACTGAAGGTGAAGAAGCAGAAGCTGAGCTATCAGCAGCTGCAGCTGCGGCAGCAGCAGCAGCTGCTTGCTGTCCTGGATGTAAATGTAGATGAGTATGAGAATGTGCATGTGTATGTGCATGGTATTCAGGTGAAATTCCAGCCAACTGCAATCTGACCATAGGATCTGTTGCTAAAGCTAGACGATTTGCTTCTTCAGCAGACTGGCCAGGGGGACCACCACCTGAATTATTTTGGTTTGAATTCCCATTTGGCCCACCAGCTATAAATATTGATA